GTATTTTATTCTCGAACCATGTGAAATTACCAAATTTGCCTCTAGTTGGATGTCTTGAATAATTATCAAGCCTTGAGCTTAAATATCAATTTCTCATATTTTCTTAATTTCTTAAATTATTTTTCGTATTCATAATGTGTAGGCGAAGACGGAATTAGAATTCGAGTTACGAGAGTTATGTTACAAAATTTAGTTGATTGAGGGATTTTTAATTTCCAAGAGGGAAAAGTATTAAGTGGGATTAACCCACTCTGTTTCTCTCTCATTCCCTCATTTTTGCAACCCTCACTCTCTCTCAAACTCTCATTCTCTTTCTCGGCACTCTCTCTGTCATCGAGAGCACATCCCTCACCACCACTCATTTTCCGTTCAAAATTAACCCCAAACCACCATGTTCAGACTCCTTGTGACCTAAGGATCACGAGGGTGGTCTTGTGTGCATGGTATGTGCGAGGAAAGGGGCGACAGTATGCACCGACGCTATCCAGTGAGGTTTTAGCTTCGAATCCATTGAAACTAAGCTCAATCGAGCTCGAGGTGGATACCGTTCGACATTGTAGGTATAATTCTTACTCGACATGTTGAATTTGGGTTTGGATTTAAGGGACGGATCCATATAGGTACCCGGGGGGTCCCTGGACCCTTCGGAAGCCCAAAGAAACACTTGTGATTTACCTTTGGGACCCTCCAACAATTTGGGCAGGTGCAGAGAGACGGATCTATTAAGTGGTCCTAGCACCATCGTAAGGCAAGATAAATTTCTGTGAGGACCTCCGAGGATCACCCAAGTCTGGGCATATGGTGGAGGAGAAGAGTAGAGGGGTTGCAGAGTGTTCTGGTATTCTGCAAACCAGAGAGAAAAAGACTACTATTTTTTTTTTTTTAATTCAAAAGACTTGGGAAAACGGTGCGTTTGATGTATGATTTAAAAAAACCTTCTAAGTAAAACGTTGTGTCAATACAGCGTTCTTTAATATATAATTTTTGCAATTTTTTATTAAACAAACGGTTCAACTTTCAAACAGAGTCAGAACTTTTCCAATTCCATTTCTAACTCCTAATTGGCTAATCCCATTCTCCAGTCACCTCACCACCCAACTGAAGGCCACCCACCGGCACAACCCTAGTCTCCTCCCCGGTCTTCACAAACTAAATAGTTCAATTCCAATTTTAGATAATTTCAATTATATTCTGGATATTTTTGCCCCAATTGACAATAAATCTATAATGATACATTTTCGAGTATGAAACTTCATCGTGGACAAATTTAGTCTTTGTAATTTATATTTTTGTGTTAATATTTTTTTGAACTTTTATACTGGGACCACCTAATCTTAAAATCCTACATCTGCTATTGGGTGCAATGGAGAGGCTTGTTGCTTCCATAGATGTGCATGCAGTAGTGTTTATAACGAAGAAGAGGATTTTAATTTTTGTTTTAAAAGACCTAGTAAAAAACGACAACGTTTTTGAGCCAAATCATTATAAAAAATTTAGAAACTAAAATATCTTTATTTTCTCTACAGAGCCCAAGAACCTCGATCTTTCCAGTAATCCCACATTATATTTAAGAACTCTCTCAACCCTAATCATCGTAACCGTCCAACTTTAAGCTCAAGTTACCCTATCCCCCACCACCATTTGCCGTTCTATTGCTTTTAACTGCCTAATTTTATAAATTCATATAAGTTTTTAATCCTAGACTCTAGTCTCAACTCCCAATTGATAATATATATATGATACTTTAACAAATTTTATCTTTGTAGAGTCACTAATTGCTTTATGTTGCTAAGAAGAATTACCTTTGAGACTAATCTTAATTTATTCAATGAACCAAATTCAAAAGAAAATAGTGATATGGAACTAAATTAATTTTGTTTTTTTTTAATTTTTATCTTGGACCCCAATCTTGAAATCCTATATCCGTCGCTAGATTTAAGATTATAACCCATGTGTTGCTTCTGCTTTGAATTCCAGAAACTAGCAACGAATTCTGGCTAACTTCCTTTGAGTTCGCATCAAAAATCCCCTCAATCCATTGTGAAATTAATCCTGGTAAGTTACTCAACTAGATTTCTGAGTTTTGGATTTGAAATCCGGGAGGTTTTAACCTCTGCATGTGTGGTTTCGTTCCAGATTCTAGCGAACTATTTCGAGGAACACTCGTCAAATCCGAGATAGATTCGACTTCCTCTCCTCCTAAAACAATTTTGGGTGAGTTCTTAAACCTCTAGGGTGATTTTTGGTTAAGTTTGGAGATGAAAACCATCGAATTTAGAACTAGAACTAAGCCTAGCCGTGTTGTTAAAAATAACGAAATCAACTGACGGAAAGGGTACATAACCGTTAACCCTTTAAACATTTTTCGACAACCGGCGTGTGTCCCAACGACGACGCATGCGACGCCTACTCGCCGAACCGTAGAGACGAGTATGGCGGCACATTTGCTGGCAACAGTGCATTGCAGTGACACTAGATGGTGCGTGGCACCACCCTGGGCGCACGTGACTAGAGCACAACGGCGCATGCAAGACCCATGACATATCCTTGGGTTTTTTGGTGTTCTGAATCATGTGACAACTTTTGTTTTGCAACGGCGCATGCAAAACTATGTATATGTTGATATTAATATTATCAGTTAGTCTTTGATGAGACTTGAATCTAGTTAGATCTTAAATGATATCTTAAGGCCATGGTGATTTATTTTCCACACATTGTTATCATACATATCATATAGCTAGCTACGGTCGTAGGTATTGCAGACACATATATTTCTAGTAGAGGCTAAATACGTAGACGCTAATCATCGATCAGGTATATGTCATCTCACCTGTTTTCTCTATAAATTGATTTACTTGGTGTGTTTGATAGGTTTACTTTCTTTGATATGATGAGCAATATGATGAGAACTTTATTACCATTATAGTAGTATTACTATTATGTAACTTTTTACTGATTTCAAAACGAGGGTTAGTATGTTCAAATTATTTTGATTAGATAAACTTGATCCACTCACACTTTAATTTGTCGACCCCTCGGAACAGAGCGAGAACAAGGAGACTCTTGGGAGTGACGAGTGGGCTTGGCGGTGAGGCAGTCACCTACGGATTTGGACGATGATCCCTTTACTGTACTTTTTATCTACTTGTAATAAATTGCATGATCGTACTTTTGACTATGCATAGCACTGCACTATTTTGTATAAACTGTTGTATGAACTACTATCTGCTATAGAATGATGCGATAATAATGTGATTGCATCTCTTGACTCATGTCCCCAAGTGGGGATATTGTTTAGGATTTGCAGGATAGTTGATAATTGAATTTAATAAATAACGTTTTTTTTTGTTCAAATTCATTCACATCGTTTATTCTTTACTATGGCTTTTGTCATTAAATTGGTGTTGTGATGTCATTCTATGGTGGGGTTACAATGTCGGCTTAGGGTCGACCAACACATTACCACCCCCTTAGCTTGCTAGTTATTAGGTTGGAGTTTGTCAAATAGAGTATTGTAGCTCAAATTTTTATGAAAATTGATATTTAAACTAAAACCTCTTGATATTATCTACATTAAGAGATGGAGGAGGGAGCTAAACCTCACAATGGACTAGCCGCAATAATTTGGTTCGAATTCGCCTTTGGCAAAAATCAAATTTAAGACATCTTATTTATAAATAAAGAAGAATATCATTAGACCGTAGTACTAAGTGACAACCATAATTAACTTAGGGAACATGTGTTCAGCCTTTAGTCTTTATAATGAGATGATGCTCACCGCTTTGTTAAAGTGGTGAGCATATTCGCACTCAATTTTTACTAGAATATGATAATTAAAACAGCAAAATCTCTTTGTATAGAATAAGAATGTTGGGATCAAACTTCTTAACATATATAAAGAAAACTGATTTTTGAACGTCATTTTCCTCTTTGCGCAGTCATTGTTTTTTTTTCTTTTTTAGTATCTTGATCCTTCTTTAATTTATTTAAAAGCCAGCTAGATTCAGATCGTTAATATGTTTTTTTAATTGAGTTCAATTGCAACGTACCTATATCATAAGAAGACTACAAAATTTTCCAAGAAGCATATTTAAGATAGAATTAAATACTGTGGTAACAAAATTATGCGGTAAGAGGTCTTGGACAAAATTGTACCTAAAATAAATAAACACCTTCATTCAAGGCCAAAGCCTCACGTGCACATGAGGTGGGGGAAGAGGGTTTTTTCCTGCACACGGCGGCTTCCTATTGGTTAAGGCGAGTCATGAGGAAAGAATAATCCCAAAGATATTAATTATCAGATAACATCCTAGGATAATGATGGTAGTATCCTTGATTGATTGTGGTAAAGATTCATTACTTGATTGAGAGTTCACTTAGGAGAGTATTGAAGATATGATTTGGCAATTAATCCTATCATTAATGTCTTTGATTTTTTTTCCTTTCCACGAGCAGGGGAGCTTAGTGGTGTCATAGTCTATTGCTCAAGCCTCCATGGATATTAAACTATGCGTGGGAAAATATTTGCAAGCTCTACCCATTTAATAAGGGCACGCTGGGGAGTGCTTGGGAAAATTTGTGGGCATTCTTGTCTTCTTCGGGACAAAAAAGTCACGTGTTATCTCTAAAACTTTTGGAAATAATTTTGCTCCACAAATACAACTAATTCTAAAAGGTAGATTACAAGAAAAAAAAAATATCTTTAATATAGGTCGCTAAAAACCGTACAGATGTGAAATAGGTAGATTATTGAGAGAAATCTATTATATAAGTATATTAAATAAAAAAGACTCGGAAAAAATTAAGTAATAAATTGATTGCAGCATGGTTGAAGGGATTTAATTTTTGTGATTTAGAATATTATAATAGCTCAAGGCCTTTTCATTAAGCCCTGTTTGGTACTGCTTAGATTTTTTTAAAAGTTAGATGAAAAAATGTTGAGCTTAATATTTGTTTGGTAACTCAGCTTATTTCCAAAGTTGATGTGAGAAACAGCTGAAAATGGAAAGCAGCTATTTCCTGCTTTCAAAAAGCAGCTTTTTATCACAGCAACACGGGTAAACAGTAACCTTTAATGAAAATTTTCAAATGGCGATCCTACCTCACCCCACTCCTCGCGTCTCACTTCTCTTCCTTGTTCTGGCATCTCAGTTCTCTCCCTCTCGTCTTCACTCATTCACTCCCAGCAGCCGCCAAACTGAAACTTCTTCCTTCCTCCCAGCGATCTCTCTCGTTCTCCAGGTCACGTTCTCCGGCTCGACGTCCTTCCTCTGGTAAGCTTCTCTTGTCTAAAATTTCGTTATTTATTTGTTTGGATTTTTAAATTTAGGGATGGCAGAGTGAAAAAATTAGGGTTTGTGGGGGAAAGAAAAATTGAGAGAGAAGTAAGAAAAATTGATTACTTCTCTGCCCGCAACGAAGCTTGTCGTTCGAGCCGCTCGAACCGAGTCTATAATCTTCCGTGAACTATTCAGTTGGTCAGAGTGTCTGGTATATGTTGGAAGTATATGCAAGAAATGATGAATGTATTAATTGCACAGTTTAAAATTAATGATACTGTAAAGTGATTATATATCAATTTTGGTGAATTAGTTGGTTCTATTAGCAATCTCAGTAAAAGAAATTAATTTGATTCTCGAGTGAATACCATGTAGGAGCAGTTTAGGATACATTTAAAGGGGTCCCTCTGGGGTTCCGAGCTCCCAATTTTGAGGCACCACATATATACTTGTTCTTTTTAAACTTTGTTTTGAATTATGTTCAAGATTTGTTCTTTATTTTGATTGTTTGGGAATTGGTTTTAGATTCCGGAGCCCCTTACTGGGAAAGTTTGGAAATTGGAAGATTTTGAATCACATCCTGCTTTACTGGTGAGTTCTTGCTTTGTGTTTTTCTTCAATGGTGTTTTGGATGGTTATTGTTTGTTTGATTTTCTTATTATCTGTCATATTATATGTCATGTATTGGATATTGGCAATTAGTTAGAGTGGATTTTTAGATTAATTAACATGAATGGTGGGTTCTTAAATAACAACTGCAACTGCAAATGACATGACAATTGCTATTTTAGTGGAAATCAGAGGACGTTAAAACGTAATGGTTGTTCTTGTAATGTCGAATTGTTTAGAATAAGCTGCAGAGCTACCTACAATTTGTTCATTGATTTAGTCAATGACCCTAATGAAATAAGGTAGGTTCCTTAGATTTATAAGGCCTATCGTCTGTCATATCATAGGGCATAAGTTTCTAAGAGCTGCACAGCAGATTGGGCAGAGGGGAAGGTAAGGTTGTGGGTCTGCGTGATTAAGATGACTCGTGCCAGCTTGATTCTGGTGGTGATGTTGATTTGCATGACCACAAGGCTTCAAAGTTGCTGCATTATAATTCTGCTTCTGGAATTTTATGCTTCTACTTTTATTGGGCTTAAGTGCGGGTTGATATATTTGAATTTTTAAGTTGGCTTCTGTAGAGATTAGAAGGTTGCTTAACTATCCAAAAAGGAAAATAGAGCATATAAGTGGCTGTGGATAGCCTATTTCTGGGTTGGTAGGCTTCACATTGACCAGTATAATTCTCTCTACATGCAAGTTGGTGGGTACTGTCTTGTTTCATCACTCTTGCAAGGACTGATTTCTTACTCTCACTTTGGCCAATTTCAAAAGTCCAATGTGGATTCTGGATCTTCTGGTTTCAAGAATGTTCTAGTAGATGCTTGGCTGAGGCCCTTTTGATGCCTTATTGTACATTTTCGATCTTTTGCTTATAAAACAGTAGCTTACATCCCTGTATCCTATGGTCTGGAGTCTAACTGAACTAATGAGTCCCTGTAGAGTTTTGTGCATTTGTACTGATGTTTAGCTTGTGTGTCATTCCCTTAATGGGCATCATTTAAGCTTGTGTGTCATTTCCTCAGGGATAGATCAACAACGTTTATGCCTCAAATAAAACAATGTCACATATATATTTGTGTGTGTGGATACATAACAATGCCATGCCCTGCTTTATTTCTTATTAAATGAACATTTTGTCTTATTAAGTTAGCCATGGCCCTTATAAACAATCCAAGCTCCTGCTGTTTGATGGTTCTGTGAATTGCTGTCATTTGTTCTTGTTTTAATATATATATATATATATATGTGTGTGTGTGTGTGTGTGTGTGTGTGTGTGTGTGTGTGTGTGTGTGTGTGTGTATGCAAATCAGTAGTTGGTATCGAAGGCAAAGAAGGGGGCATCTTCATCAAATCCTTCAGCTACATGGAATGCCTACAATATATCTATATTTTGTGATATTTGCATCAAGGAGGTTGAGGCCGGAAATCCTCTAAGCACTCACTTTAACAAAGAAGGATATGCAAATATTAGAGCTAACTTTAAGGCAGAGACAGGGCATGATTATGAAACTGAAAAATAAGTGGGATGCACTTAAAAATGAGTGGAAGTTGTGGAAAGAGTGAGTTGGTAAAGAAACTGGCCTAGGGTGGAATTCGAGCAATGGTACCTTTGATGCCTCTGAGGAGTGGTGGAATAATAAACTTCAGGTTTGTGTATTTATCTTTTAATATGTATTATGATATCATGCAGTATGTATTAATCATATTCTTTCTTACTTGTAGATAAACAAAGAATATGGAAAATTGCAAAAAAATGGCATTAGTCCTAAGATGGAGGACAAGTTAGATAGGATGTTCTCGAATATAGTTGCTACTGGTGAACATGTTTGGGCACCTTCATAACTACATACGGAGGTATTCTGAATGTGATCGTCATTTTGATGACCTCAGGGACTATTGTGAAGAGAGCGATAGTAGTGATGATGCTGATGACGAATACCAAAATTATCAAGTTGAAGGATCAAATGAAATAGAAGCATTAAGAAATAGAATAGCGGCAAGTTTGATGAATGCATCTAATTAGACTACTTTCAAGTACATTAACAATATTGTATTAATGAATCCTAGCTATTTAGTCTAAAATATTTCAATTGAAGTAATTTGTCATACTAATTAATATTTAAGATAAAGTTTATAAATATTTTTCTTTTAAAAATAAAGTATATTTATTAATTCACCTTTATTTGTTAAGAAAATGAAATTAATGACACATCCAATATTATACTATTTTTGGTCATTTCACATAGTTACAGCTGTTTTACATAAAAGTTTACCAAACACTATAATATTGTTTTTTTTTTCCAAAAGCACTTTCACAAAAAAGTTTACCAAACACTCTGTGACCCTACTGTTTTATTTCATAGTTGCTTATTCTCATAGCACAGCAAAAACAATTGTTTTTTTCAAAGCACATCTATATCAAACCAGCCATAAAGCTTCCTATTATAATCTTTTAAAATTTTCAGTCTTATCACAAACTTAACAAAAAAAATAATAGTCACTTTACCTATTTTTAAAAAGTGGACTATTCCTAATAATAGCTCACAAAATTAGATTTATATTGAGTTACCCTTTCATTTAATTTAGAGTATTTTTTTCATTTAAACATCACTACTAATCTATGTTAAACCCAATTTTTTATCCACAGTCCATTCAAATAATTTAAAATTTAACTTTTCTAACAACACCACATGTGTAACCAAATTGCACGTAAACACCAACACACCACATTCACCAACCCTTAAAACCTCCCAGAAATAACAAATCGTTCAGATCTTAAGAACAAATTGTTTTCTCCTTAATTATCCTATGTTGTACCTGCTTGGATTTTCTGCTGCATTGGATGTCCAGATACGAAGCAACAAGCAAGCTTAGTGGTATTTTCCCATTTTCTTTGAACCCATTTCAAATATAAGAAGAGAAAAAGGTGAAACTAAGACCACCTTTCATTGTTTGTCACTTCATTGTTTGTCAGTTCCTCATTTCATTGTTTGTCAGTTCCTACATAGCAGCGATACTCTTTTTCACTTCTAAAAGAACGTCAAATTTCATAACTTCGTACTCAAATACTGTTTAGATTTGTTTCCATGAGCACCAAGTAATTCTGGTTTCTTCTGTCACCTTTATAGGCAGCTTCTTTTTGTATTGCACAGGATTAGTGATGCCAAGAAATGCTACTTTCCTTTACAAGCAATCCTATATTGAAAGAATTAATATGCGTATGCATTAAGTTGAATCGTATATCATGTGTTAGATGGCTATCCGCAGATAACTCCCCCTACTAGTGTTGGGAACTCTGTGCCAGTTTAAGGACGCCTTTGGGAAGTTATCAGTAGGCCTTTAGGCTATCTTAAGAGCAAGTCCACCCTTAAAAAAATAAGCTGGCCCAAAGTCTATTTAAACCATCTAAATAAATAGTAATTGACTGCAATGAACAGTAATTGGCTAAGTGCATCTCCATCCCTAAAAAATAAGTTGGGCAAGAGTCTAGTCAATTCGTATTAAAATATTATTAATTTTTTTTTATAAAATAATAAAATATTTTTAGTTTTAATTTCGAATAAGATTTTTAACCAATCTTATCACGCCATGTGTCATTATCTGAAATTTTATTCTTTGATCAAATGCAACTTAAAAAAACATACCAAATAAACTAAGAACTTTATTCTTCGACCACAAGCTCCTTTTAAGTTTCTTCACCTTGTGTCAATCACCACAAGTGCTCAATCAAGTCACTTTGACGGCTTAAGTGCAAGTATGGTCATTGCATTGAAGTGTACCATTCAATGACCAATTGATTGTAACGTTCATCCCTTTTCAATGGCTCTTGTTGCACGGGTATGCAGTCATGAGCACACTATATACGTGTTCTGGAATTGTTGATTATGTCCGGCTCATAATCATCGATGACATCATAATCATACTCTTCTTCCACAATCATATTGTGGAGAATGATACAAGTCATCGTGATGGACCAAAGAGCCTCTACATCAAACAACATGGCAGCACTCCTGACAATTGTCCAACGAGCTTGCAAGATACCAAAACAACAGTCCACATCCTTCCTACACCCTTCTTGACATGTTGCGAAGTGTTTTTCCTTTTCACATTGACAAAAAAGATGGATGTAGGATTTATATGGACAAAAAAGAAAGCTTTGGTTTAAAGTGATGAAACTATTGAAATGTGGTGTAAGGTGGAAGATGATGGTTAGGTATTTATAAAAATAAAAATAAAAATTCGTTTTATTTTTTCTGTAGTTTTAAATAATTTTTGTTAAGTTAATTAATCTGGACCCTTGGATTTCAAAAATATTGAAATCCAACAAGCCAAAATTGGACACGTGGCCAACATTAAGATTTCTAACATTTTCTCTAAACGTTTTTTGACCAAAAAAACATAGACCGTTGATCTGGGAATCGAACGGTCCATATTTTACCACGTCACTAGCCGTTAGGTTTGAAATTCAAAATTTTTTTACTGTTGGAAATCCAACAGCCATCGCCGCGCCACATGGCCCTAGTCTCGCATCACATTAGTGTGCCTGCATCACGGGCCCCACCCTTGATTGTTGTCAGCAACGCACGCCCACGCGCCAGCCACAAAAAAAGACTCAGCTCATGGCTGACGTCAGATGGGCTGGTTCCTCCCTCAGTCTATTCTAGGCTGCCCTAGAAGTTGGGTTTGACTTTGGGCCAACCTATTAATGGGGTTTTTTTTTTTTTTTTTTTTGTGGGGGGGGGGGTGGGGCCTGAAAAATGGACCTGGCTTAGCTTATTTGTTAAGGGTTGAAGTGCTGAGATTGGTTGTTCAGGTGTGCCACTGTTGGCTAAGACCAATAGACAAATTGATTATTATTATTATTATTATTATTTAAATCATTTGCTTGCGCCACCAGTAAATCGAGCTTCATTACCAAGAGACTGTCCATAAAGTGGTTAAATCTATGCTTAAGTTCTTTTCCATGCCTTGGTGACAAGGACTTTATACTTTCCCTATATGGAATGCCTAGATACAACCACAAACTGATCAAAACTGGTCTAAATCAGTTTGCAATCCTCGTGATAAAGTAAAGATAGAAAGTAAGGCAAGTTAACTGAAAACAGTAAAAGATTGAAAGTACAATTAAGTAAATACTTGTTAAATGAAGTTAAGTGCTTGTTAATTTACAACATGAACATAAAGATAAACAAATTAGCAAATGGGAGGTTTTATAATGAAATGAAATACAAGAAATCAATACTACAGGAAAAGTAGTAGAGCTATAAAGGTAAATGCAAGGAAATAGAAAGGTGCTGAATGTATTGAAAAGATTTTTAAGGAAGTATAAAAGTTGGCTGCGAAGAACAAAGCTGTTTTTTTGTTTGATTTAAGTGTCCTTGTATATGTGCGGTTGCTATTGGTAAACCAATAATAATTCCAAACAATATGAAGCAGACGCTAAATTTCTCTTATTGTAGATGAACTACGAGTGGCTTGATCCCTTTACACGGTAAGCAGGCAGTCTAACTCAAAAGTTATATGCAACCATAAGATTAAATAATATTAAATATTTCATTCATGTTTCGAAATGAGACATTATTGTGCTTCGATCTAAATACATACTTTTACTAGATTGACAAGAATAAAACTCCTTAGACCATCTTCAACCCTTCGAGTAAAACCTAAAATTTTTAACCTAGAAAATTTAGGTTTTAACCTAGAAACAACTTTTCTGTTCCAACCCTTCTAGCCTAAAATTTTAGCCTCATATTATTAAAGAATGAATCTCACTCGTTAGATTTAAAAGAGATGGAAATCTATGCCATCTGATAGAAATAAAGCAGATGGGATTGCATATGGGTGGCTGCCAACAACCCCATCAGGTTGGGTCCCACTTCCCCTCAAAGTGTGCCCTTTTCCTTGCTTTTTGGCACGTTGACAAGCTTTTAGCGCGTTAACTAGTGCACTTTCTTTTTTTCACATCATGTCTACGCACATAGTGGGCCAGGATATTTAGCCTAGGCCGGTTTCTTGGCTAGTATTTTAGTTTTTTTGGAGTTCTAGCACTTAACCCAATTTTAGAACAAGGGTTGGAATGAAATTGAGGGGGGGCAATAGAAGGGAAATTTTATAACTTACTCCAATGATTGGTGTGACAACTCATTCCTAATTTTAAGATTTTACGATTTTATGAATTTTAAAAGAGTGAATTGACGAAAATGCCCCTAGAGGCAAGGGTGTTGACTTCTGTTGACCAACGTATTAGGAGACGTATGAAACATTCTTTTAGCATACCCTTGTAGAACTCATCTCTACAGACACGCGGGCTTTGGAGCTACGATGAAGATTTTACGGAACTACAAAGCGAAAGAGCATTTTAGTAAATTCGCTATTCTAGATATTCAACTTTATTATTTTATTATTTTCTTATTGGATATATGTGTGCTTGGAACCCACCCACGTGGGTCACTAATACCCTTGGTCCCCGTGTCTCCCACTCTCCCAAAATCTCTCATTCTCTCTCTCTTGCAATTCAAATCTTCCTCATCTCACTCTTCCATTGGATGATTGCCACCACACTTTTCCTTCTAACCCTTTCAGCCTTCTCTCCTATCCCGACTCTTCTCTCTAACTCTATCCTCCCTCTACAATGGTTGTGCCAAGACCCGAGCACCACCTCGGTTGCCACCCCGGCGAACTTCTCCACCACTAGCCACCACCATTGTAACAACACTTCCCTTTCTTCTTTGTCGCAAACCCTCATCTCTCTTCCTTTCTCTGTGCTTGCTACACATAAATGCCGACGAGAATCTAGTGAGTCCACAACATCTTAAACGATGGTAAGTTCGAAAACCACCCCAAAAATTTATCGATCGTGTTGTGGTATGATTTCCAAGTCATTTTATGTACTTTTGGTAATATTTTGGCACAGAAACACCTCGGGTATACTTTTCTAGATTTTTCTGGCGAGAGCTTGACTACTTCGAGCAATTTTCTGGCCTACTCTGACCACGATCAGGTGTTGTAATGGTATATTTCGATTCCTCGTCCTTTAAGCTTCATTTTTTGTATATTAGGTTGCTAGTTTTGGTTTAGTTTCGAAGCTAGTGGAGC